TGCCACAGTCTTAAGTGACTGCCCACATAAAACATGCACTGCTGTTTTGATTTGGACCGTGGTGGGTCGGATTGATAAGGCAAGCTAGGATGCAACAACAACAACAATTTGCACTTATATAGTGCCCTCCATACAGGGTAGTGTCTCAGAGTGCTCAGGCGGAGCTTGACTCTGATGTGGGGGGAGGGGGGCGGTGGCCGTAAGCACAGGAAAGATTTCAGGCGGAACCTGAAAGAATGGAGCGATGGGGCGAGGCGGAGGGATTGAGGGAGAGTGTTCCAGAGTTTTAGGGTGTAGTGGTTGAAAGCATGACCTCCGATGGTGGGGCGGTGGGTGCAAGGGACGAGCAGGAGGCCAGTGTCAGTCAAGCGGAGGCGCCAGGTGGTGGATTGGGGAGTAAAGAGGTCGGAGAGGTCGGGAGATGCCAGGGAATAAATGGATTTGAACTTGAGAGTGAGATGCTGTGCTATATTACCAAATCAAGAGAATTCTGGATTACCGTAACAGTTCTTGTCACATGACATAAGGAGACTAGCTCTAGAGGTAGTGCAGAAAAGATCAACTAGGATGAACCCCAGTGTCAGAGGAAAATGCAAAATACTGCAGATGGTGGAAATCTGAAAACAAAAACAGAAGTCGCTGGGAACACTCAGCAGGTCAGGCAGCATTTATGGAGAAAGGAAAGTCGGTTCTGACGAAGGCTCGTGGACCCGAAAAGTTGACTCACTTTCCTTTCTCCATAGATGCTGCCTGACCTGCTAAGTATTCCCAGCCCAGTGTTAGAGGGATGAGCGAGGAGCAACAGTTAGACAAACTAGCTCTTGAAAAGAAACATCTCAAGGGAACTTTATAGAGATATATAAGATTTTAATTAGGATTTACAAAGTAAATTCAAACCAATACTTTTAAGGTAGAACAATAGGATTTAGGTTCAGGGTTGTAAGAGAAGTTTCAGGACAGATCAGGAAGTATTTTTTATCGAAAGGGTAATTAACAACTGGAACAATTCCAGGAAGTGTGGTTAAGGCAAGGACGCTAAACATTTAAAAAATATCTAGATATCTGTGTTGAGAAGATATTCTGTATTATGTTGGGTAGGTATTCTGTAAAAATTAGGTCAAATAGGCCTAAAGACACTTCTTCACCTAAAGCTCCCTTGTGATCTTATGATGTGCTGCTGGACAGAATGTTTTTGCTTTTAATCTGCTTTTCATTTTCATTCTCCTTTGGGGGTTGGGAGGTAACCAGGGTCACTTTGTGACTGAGCTGTCTCCGAGGTGATATGCCTTACAATGGAATATTGAAACAGTGTTGATCCTGTGTTTTGGTTTAATTCCTGAGCTGGGTGAATCCGAAGCACTTGAAGGCATTGCGGATGGTAGACAAGTAAATTTGGCTCATTTGCATGATTAAGAGGAGCAAACCAGTCACTGGGGCAGGGATTGTTCCCACTTGGGTCCTGTTAATGCTGGAAACCAAAGCCATAATGGTTATTGTTTTCCTAGCTGGACAAGCAGTGAGATGCTTGCCAGATAATGATCTCAATGGCAAGATTTACTGCCTTAGCTGTAGCTGGAGTATTAAGCTCCAGCAATACCCCCAACACACACTCTGGGGTCTCCAAGCCTTGGCTCTTGTGAACTTGTGCGTAATCGTCTCCAGGATTAGGAAAACAAGGTGCGTCCATCCAGGAGTGAGTCGGTAGGTACTCCATTTCAGACGCAGGGAAATTTCCATGCATAACTAGAGTACAAATAACACTCAATCTAGTTTGGATACTCTTAAGCATGGTGATGGGTTCCTGTATGTATTAGTCATCCGGCTGACCCACCCCCCAAAAATTAGAAAGTTGTCTGCCCTGGTGTCACTTTTTTCAGTAAACAACGACACGCAATTCTCTTGCACACCTAGGGCTTCGATCATGATCGATCTTCTCCAGAATAAAAAGAACTATCTTTCCAAGAAATTAGTTTTAAAATGAGAATGTCTGAAAGAACTTGTCCAAAATGAGATGGATGCAGATTCTCAATATGTGAATGAACTCCAACACTTAAATAGCTCTGAATTCTAATTTGATTTTACTATTCATAAGGAATGTGGACTTTGTTAACCAGAGTGTTGAAGGAAAGAAAAAATCCAGTTAAAGCAAAGTTAATGAAAACAGTTGACAAAGTCAAATAATATAAGAAACCTTGCACTTGATATAATGCCTTATCACATCACTAATATGTGTGAATGCACTTCACAGGATTTATTGTGAAGTCCAGTCACTCTACATTTTGTAGGGAAACAAAGCAGACAATTTGGGGGCAGCAATGTCCCATATACAGCCATAAATCAATGATTAATTTTACCTGCTCCCATTTTACCTTGTGAAATAAAATTTCAAAAATAGTCTTGTTTGGAGCTGTTTACTATAAAGATGTTTGCATTTAATACAGACAATGGTAACTTCCATAGTTGTAGAATACTTTATTCATTAATATAAAATCATCTTGAGTTTAGTGGTTGGTGAAAACTGCTGTGTGCTCCCTATGTTTTTCGTAATGCTTCAAAAATAGACAACCTTTCACAGTACATCTGGGAATAATGATCCTTTTTTAGATCTTTCCTTGTTGGCAGTGAATGGCAAGGTGTAGCTGTGTCATTCTACAAGGTGCTATCATACTTGCTAAAGTGGGCCAGGTACACCTTGAAAAAATGACAAATTAACCAAGGGGTGGATTGTGTTCAGCTGCTGCATCCCTCAGGCTTCAGTGTCAGGATGTAACTGTGCTGGAAATTTGCGGTTCAGGAAGCATCATCTCATTTCAGCATCTGGGTCAAGTATATTATATATTTCAAACTAATGCTGGTTGATGCACTGATTTCACATTGAAGAAATGTAATCTGATTATCATATCATTGTGCTGGTGCATATTGATCACAAATGGCATGATTTCACTCTTGTATCATCTATGGAATTTATTTAATTTTACTCATACTTTTCTCAAATTAGCCTTGATCAGTTCATTTGTTTGCTTACAAATACCCAGTCACTACACTTTGCAGAATATCCTGTGTGGAATCCTCTCATAGTGAAAGGCGCTGCAACAATGTAAGGATTTCATACAAATTGCTCATTTCTGTTCTGCTTTATCCTCCTATTACTAGATTATCAATATTGATTATAATACTTGCATTTGGTGTAGGGCCTTATCACATTGTTCAAAAGCTCTTCACAGGATTCACTCTAAGTGCACCAAGTCTGTATTTTATAGACGAACACAGGACCCAATTTCTCACAGCAATGTCCTAAAAACAGCCATCAAACAAATCACCAATTTTATCTGAGGGATTGTCGGCCAGCTCCAATTGTGCTTTTGGGCTGTTGCAATTGAAAGATAAGCACTCTGAGACACCACTTCGCATGAAAAATGCTATATAAGTCCTGTATATATGTGGAGTCCTATAGCTCAGTGGTTAGAGCACTCGCTTTGCAAGCGAGAGACCTGAGTTCAATTCCAGGCAGGGTGAAACCTTGGGCAAGTTTCCTTACTCCACATGCCTAATAATAATCCCTCCAAAACCCAAAACAATAATAAAATTGGTCATTTTCAATCTACGATTGTTTGTGGGACATTGCTGTGCGCAATTGGCTGCCGCGTTCGCCCACAAATATACAGTCAATTCACTTTACAGTGTGTTCTGTGAAGCACTTTGGGACGTCCTCCCGACGTGAAAAGCGCTATATCAAATGCAAGGATTATTATTATTATAAATAAAAGCTGATGTTGTTTCAGCTAAGACTAAAGATGTTTTAAAATATTTCATTTTTAACCTTAGATAATTCATAATTTCTCATATATATATCTTTAAAATTAAATTGCCCTTTATTTGTATGTAATTCCATAAATTTGTAGATTGCTTACTAAGGAACCCAAATTTTTTTTAAATATGTGGTGAAAATAGCGAAGTGTTTCTTTTAATAGATTCTGTTAAGAAACCTCATAATTTTCTTCATATATATATCTTTAATCTCTTTGGTTCCTTAGTAATAGTGCCACAAATAGTTAGAACTGAACCCGAAACATGTAGTAACAATCTCTACTCTTTCTTTTCACTTTTATATTAAAATGAACGGTATTAGACTGTGATCTGCATTAGTGCTCCAGAACAGTGAAGGCAAATGTAGGAGAGCTAATGGATTGTGATCTTCTTTACAGATTGTTGGACTAAAGCACTTTGGCTTAAGCTTTTTATGTTTCAGTCAATACAAATAAATACTAAGCTTTTCTATTTTTGTTCAACAATGACTAATGCACCCTTAATTCCAGAAAAGACGGAGGAATTTGCTGCATATTTATTTTATTCAGACGTCAGAAAGATAAACTTGTTAAAGGTACAGATGCTTGTTTGCCACCATTCTTTTATATCATTATTCCGCTTTCCAAATGTTTTTGGGGGACAAAATCAGCTCCATCCCATGCAGAGCTTACTTCGTTTTTTATATAAAAAATAAGTCATTTTTAATTTGAAGTACTTGATTGAAATATCAACAGAAGCGTTCAGCACTGTAGCCTCTGCACCTTTGGTATCTCTCCTGATTTGCAAATTCTAATACAAAACTGTCTATTTGTTTTCAGACTATCAATAAATATTTCCTAAAAAAAATTAATAATACAGAGGGAAGCCAACAAATTAATCTGCAAACAAAAATCATGGACAATTTCTAATAAATACAGGTTCTATAATAAATGGCCTAGAAAATACATTTGCACATATTTAATTCAGTATATGAAGAATTCTTATGAACATCCATCCTCAGTTAAAACTGCAGTGCTCCCCAATTTAAAGTTTGCGTATTGAAAGAACAGTGCTTGTGAGACAATGTTGATGGAATCTCTCGCACAGTAACATCCCAAAAGCAGCCATGCATAAAGTGACCAGTTTTATCTGGGGGATTGAAACTCCCTTCCCTATTTGAATAATGCCATGGGATCTTAAACATCCGCCTGATCTGGCAGATGGGACCTCGGTTTAACATTCACCCAAAGGACAGCATATTGCTGCATTTGAACCCACACCTCTCTGACTCGGTCAAAAGTGCTACAATTGAGCCAGACTGACACGTGCTGTACGAATTTAATGAAATTTAGGAGCAAAAAACACCTTGAATTGTTTTGAAATTGTGATGCGCTGCAGCTTTCAATAAGGTATATAAATAGCACAATAGCTTTCAATTTGTTTATTCTATGAACAAATTGTTCATTTAAAGAAGATACCAGATAGGTCACCATATGTCATCTCCGGCACTGCTTCTTGTACTTTCTCTTTCGCGGCTCTTTATCCGCAACATTTCCATAATACTACGGGCGTATATGTCCCTCAGGTTAATGTTGACGGCAGTATCGGAAACTGAATTCTTGGTGAGCTTCTTCAGAGCTTCACGGTGACGCAGGGCTGCTTCTTTCATCTTCAGGGTAAAGTAACACGAGGAAAACCTGTCATTTATAATAGCTATGGGCAGTGACAAAACCAAAATGCCAGTCAGAATGCACAAAAAGGCTACTATCTTCCCAATTGTGGTTTCAGGTCGAATGTCTCCATAGCCTACAGTGGTCATGGATGTGGTTGCCCACCACCATGCACAAGGGACACTGGAGAAGGTTGTGTCAGGGACAGTGTGCTCCACAGCATACTCCACTGTGGAGAAAATAGATATGCCCACTGACAGAAAAAGCAGGAGCATCCCAACCTCCTCGTAGCACAGAGCGATCGTCATTCCAAGAGACCTCAGGCCTGTAGAAAAACACATAATAAAGCAATGATTTTCAAATACTGTATCCAAGTCTAATTTGCACAAGACGGTGGGAAGCACTAGTTGAGATTATTCACAGATTGCAGTATTTTTGATGACTGTAACACAGCTGAGGAGTCAAGTGGCACTAGGTAAACCACTTGAGGTTGAAGCTGTTATCTGAATGCAAGTAAGTTGTCACTCCCACCTACATCCTGTATATAAATTAATTTCACTTTTATTTCACTTCATTGAATCTATTATTCTATTTTCAAAGAGCCGGCACTTACAAGATGGGCCAAATGGCCTCCTTCTGTGCTGTATAATTCTATGATTCTATAATTTATCAATGGTAACTGGTGATAAATTTACCAAAAGAGGGCTTAAATCTGCACTCATTAGATGTTGATTGACCAACTCTTGGTTATCCGCCTTGCCTTCCCAAAGGAGTATTAGATGCAGATTGGCAAGAGCCAAAGCTTGCTCCCCCAGTGTGGGCATTGGGTACTGCTGGAGTTTACCATTCAACCCAATGAGGCTTTGGCTTGCAAGGTTACCAAAGGTGAATGGGAAGAATTATTGTCTCCAAGTCCTGTTGGTGAGCCAGACTGGCTGGCACGGAAACCGAATAAACCCTGTCTATGTTATGGTCTAACAGGAAGGACTGCATTGTATTCTCTCAAAAGATAAAATAGCTCTGTTAATTAACTCTAAATACTCAATAATTTTCTTGATTTGATTTATATCTAACAATCTGGTTAGGAAGCTAACTCATGATTCGGAAGTAACCTTATTGTTGAAAATGTAATTTAAAATTTAAAATTTCTACCTTCATTGATTGACTTTAAATTTAACATTTGAATTCTACATATTCAAAAGACGACTTAAAAACTATCTCTTCAACAGAGCTTTTGGCTACCTCTCCTCTGTCTTCCTTAGCTCCACCACCAACTCCCTCTCCAGTTCTGGCTTCCAGTCAGTTGTGCGAAATGTTTTTGAGATTTCTAACCAATGTGAAATGCAACATATATAAATATTTGTTGTTCTTCTCTGATATTTATCTAATTGTTTAATAGAAGCTTTGAGATGTGTGTTTTCACTTAGCAATGAGCTGATTGTGAGGATAATAATTTACTGGTCTCTCAGGCTCTGCTTGTATAAGCAGAAGCTTGTGCTCTAAGATGATTTTCCCCCTCAACACATTTCAACAACAGCAACAAATACATTTGCAGAAGGAAGCTTAGCTTATAGTGTTTAGGGAGCAAGGATAATTCATCAATGAATCTCTTGAACAACAAATAGAGATTCTACCAAAAATCAGATTACCCATGTATTTTGTTATTTTAGCATTACCATGAAGGCACAAAGCACACAGCCACTCCACTTTACAGAATACAACAAGTTGCATTTATATATCACCCTTAATAATAATAATAATAATCCTTGCATTTGATATAGCGCTTTTCACGTCGGGAGGACGTCCCAAAGCGCTTCACAGAACACACTGTAAAGTGAATTGACTGTATATTTGTGGGCGAACGCGGCAGCCAATTGCGCACAGCAATGTCCCACAAACAGTCGTAAATTGAAAATGACCAATTTAATTATTGTTTTTGGTTTTTTGGAGGGATTATTATTAGGCGTGTGGAGTAAGGAAACTTGCCCAAGGTTTCGCCCTGCCTGGAATTGAACTCAGGTCTCTCACTTGCAAAGCGAGTGCTCTAACCATTGAGCGACAGGACTCCTTCATGCTGGGCAGCGTCCCAGAACGCTTGACTGTGGCGGAGTCTGACCCCGAGCCAGGGGTGAGGGAGAGGGGAGGTGACTATAAGCACGATCAAAAAAGGTTTTTGGGTGTGATTTGAAAGTGGGGAGGGAGGACGCAATGTGGAGGGATTGAGGGAGAGAGTTCCAGAGTTTCAGGGCACAGTGGCTGAAGGGACAGCCACTGATGACGGAGAGGAGGGTTCAAGGGACAACCAGGAGGCTGGAGCCAGCTGAGCTGAGGCAGCGGGTAATACAGTGGGACAGGTAGATCAGACAGGCAGGGAGGTGCGAGGGCATGAAGGGATTTGAAATCGAGTGAGAGGATCTTGAAGTCAATCTATTCGGTAATTGGGAGTCAGTGGAGACTAGCAAGGACTGGTGTGATGGGATATCCTATGAAGCACTTTGAGATGTCCTTCCAATGTTTTTTATTTTAGCAATTATATCAAAATTTTGCTGAGTCTCACAGAAGCATAGAAATTCACAGAAGAGGGCCATTTGGCCCATTGTGCTACTTCTTATAAAGAGCAATCCCTTCACTCCCAGTTACCTGCCCTTTCTCCATACCCCTTTGGGATTGACCAGATGGACAACAATGATCCTTGCTGGTCTGTATATTCCTTCCTGTGATCTGCAGGGCAGCAGGTTCAAAGATGCCAAAGGCTGGCTCAATGATGACTGCAAGTGGCATTGGGCCAGATGAGCTTCACTGAATCGGGAGGAGAAGGAGGATTATTGAAAGGGACTTTGCCAGGAATGGAATGTCCAATGGTCAGGTACCACTCCTTCAAACAATACTTTGTAAGATCTTGACTGTTCTAAATTTGAAGCTACTTTGGACAATTTGGCTGTGAATTTGGCTGCTATGCTCATCACAAGTAGAAACAAGCAAAAAAAAATATGGGTTTAGGTCATCTGAGAGGCATTTTGTTACAATTTAGAAAAAAGCTGATATTTGGATTAGATATAAAAATGTCTTTCAAATTTTAGTAAAGAAATAAATAGTCTGACGTGTGATTTTATCAAATACAGTCACTAAAACTGTATCATAAAAAAATCCTGTGATGTGCTCTGAGATGTTCTCCAGATGTGAAAGTTGCTACAGATTAGACAAGCTCGAGCTTTTCAAACTTTGAAGACGAATCAAGGCAGTATGTAAAATGTTAAACGGAATTGGAAAGTAAACCCAGATCAATACTTTGGGATACAAGACAGTAGAACAAGCAGAAATAGATTTAGAGTTGTAAAGGGCAATTTAAGGATAGATACCAGGAAGGTTTTCCTCATGCAGAAGACATTAAATGACTGAAACAGGTTGCCAGGAAAGGTGGTGGAGGCCAGGACACTGGACTCACTTAAAAGAGCAGCTTGTTGTAGGGATGAGAGGATGTGGTAAGGTGGGTGTTCTGGAAGGATGAGATCTGATGCACTGAAGGGCCTTTTGCATCTAAATCAATCTTGTGATCTTGTGATATGAAATGTAAGGATTATTTATTATATCATCTGAAAACGTTTGCAAGCACAATAAATATTCTTGATTCACTATCAACACACGCTTTCACACATTATCAAATGTCCTTGAGGCTCAAACTCCTTGACAAGGCAGAATTTTAAAACACCCAAGTTATTCCCCATTCAATAATGTGAACTATTTTTTTAAAAAAATCTCACTACATTGCAAAACTTTTCAAGGTTAAAATTCGCCCAACTGCAAATAAATGCTTAATTTGATCAACAGACATCTGCCTATATTATTACAAACAGATTTCAGTTTTTGCCATAGAATTTTACTTATAATATTCTATCTATTGCTTTTTTCCTGATTTCCTCAACTAATTTCATTCAGCCTGTGAAAGTGGGTTCAGCCCCAGTGGAATTGTCCTGTCATTGGCACCTGAGGTGGTTTCACAGTACAATTAGTTAATCTGCTATTATTCTTGAGAATCCTCTGAGTCTCATTGAATGATATCACTTCAGCATTTTTTTTGGCATTGCTTCCCTGTTGACACTAAAACTTTACCTCAATCAAATCACCCCTCAACCTTCTAAACTCAAGGGAATACAATCCAAGTTTACGCAGCCTTTCCTCGTAACGTAACCCTGGTAACATTCTGGTAAACTTGCGCTTCACCCACCCACCCCCACTCAGGCCAATATATCTGTCCTGAGGTTTGGTGCCCAAAACTAATAGCAGTACTCCAGATGGGGTCTGACTAACCCTCTATACATCTGAAGCATCATTTCTTCCCTTTTGTATTCCAGGCCCCTTGAGATAAAGGCCCACATTCCATTCGCCTTTTTGATTACTTTTTGCATCCATGTGTGGATATGGACACCCAAATCTCTTTGCTTCTCCACAGTTCTTAACTCCTCCCATTAAGAAAATATTCTGCTTCATCTTTTTTCGGTCCATAGTGGATGATATCATACTACCCTACATTGAACTCCGTCTGCCACAGCTTTGCCCACTCACTTAATCCGTTTAAGTCCCAGACTTAATGAAGAGTTTAAAAAATTTTTTGACATGTTATCAACCAGTTCTCCAGGTCAGGTACAGCATAAACTATTAGTTTGTCACAAAAGTGTGCCATGATAGCCAATTTCAGAACAAGATACAAAGGGAATAAATAGAGTAGAAGGGAACCTCTTGGCAAGGGACAATTGGGAGATTATGGAAGGATGTCTCTTTCTGTACATTAATACATTGAATAATATAGGCCATTTGGTCCATCTAGTCTGTGTTTATATTCCACATGAATCCCCACCTCTCCAAATCCCCTTTCCTCTACACCTCTATTCCCTTCTCCCTCAAGCATGCACCAAGTTTCCTCTTAAATGCATTGAGTTCCACATTCTCACCACTCTTGGTTGAAGAAGTTTTTCCTAAACTCCCATTTGGATCATTTACTGCCTAATGTATATTATGTCTCTTCATTTTGGATTCACAAACACGTGGAATCTGTATTGGTCAATCTTGCTAATGTGTTTGCTTCCAAAAGGCAGTCAGTAGACTTGACGGGAAATACTTGTGAAGCACTTTGAGCAGTTTCAACGTGATGAGGTGCTGAAACAATGTGGTTTCTTTGCTTCTTTGTTTCTTGATTAGCCACAGGAGCATAAGTCTCTTAAAAAGCAGTGCTTCCAAACTAAGACAAAATTTAAAACTATTTCAATATTATTATGTTATTATTATAAAGGTCTAAGGCTGGCCTCATTTAATTTCTGGACACGTCTTATTGGTTAGCAGATAATGCGGTAATGAGTTATTTTTAATCTATTTCTTAGTTGTATGTGTTTTACCTATTCCCATACACAGTGACTCTCCATTAGACAACTTATCATGTTTAAGTGTTCTAATAACTTCATGGAACATAACACCAAATTGGCAACTATAATAGTTTGGTTCATTTCATAGAATCATACAGCACAGAAAGAGGCCATTCGGCCCATCGAGTCTGCGCCAGCTTCTAAAAGAGCAAACCAACTCAATCCCACTGGCCCGCTTTCTCTCCATAGCCCTGCAATCCTGTCCGCCCCAAATACCCATCTACTTCTCTCTTAAAAGTTGTTATTGAATTGGCTTTCACTACCCTTTCAGGTAATGCATTCCAGATCCGAACAACTCGCTGGGTGAAAATTTTTTACTAACCTCCCCTCTGTTTCTTTTAACAACTATCTTAATTTGGTGTCCTCGGGTTACTGACCCACATGCAAATGGAAACAGTTTTTCCCAGTTCAACCTATCAAATCCTCTCATGATCTTGAAAATCTCTATTAAATCCCCTTTTAATCTTCTCTGCTCTAGGGAGAATAATCCTAGTTTCGCTAACCTTTCCTCATAACTAAGATCCTTCATTCTTGGTACAATCCTGGTAAACCTCCTTTGCACCCTCTCCAATGCTCTAACAACTTTCTTAAAGTGCAGTACCCAGAACTGAATGCAGTACTCCAACTGAGGCCTAACCAGCATTTTATAAATATTCAACATAACCTCCTGACTTTTGAATTCTATGCCCCTATTTATAAATCCTAGTATCCTGTATGCTTTTTTAACAGCTTTACCTACCTGTCCTGCCACCTTCAGAGATTTGCTTATGTGGACCCCCAGGTCCCTCTGTTCATTTGCCCCCTTTAAGATTGTACCATAATCTTATACTGCCTCTCCTCATTCTTCCTACCAAAATGCAACACTTTGCATTTCTCCACATTAAATCTCATCTGCCACATTTCTGCCCATTTAACCAATCTGTCTAAGTCCTCTTGGAGTCTGGTGCTATCTTCACCATTAATTATTTTTCCTAGCTTAGTATTGTATGTAAATTTGGAAATTGTGCTCCCTATATCCAAGTCCAGATCATTAATATAGATCAGAAAGAGCAGTGGTCCTGAGGGACACCACTACACACCTCCCTCCAGTCAGAAAAGCAACCGTTTACTACCACTCTCTGCTTTCTGTCTCCTAGCCAGTTCTGAATCCATATATGAACTCATTGAAAATATCACCTTTCAGTTTGCTGTGAATTTTTTATGAACAGTCCTACATTTTTAATCTGAATGGAGCATTGCTATAGTTCTTGAATTAAATGAAGTTAATGATACCCTTTATCATTAAGTAATGATTGTATTGAGTAATTTTGGGCAGAGAAATTAATCAAACAATGTACCTGCGATTCCAAATGAAAGTATTTCAAATGAAAACAACATTTTCTTCTAACACTTGATTATGTGCCAGTGTTTGTCACTGTGAAAGGTTCTGTGCGGTGTATTAAACATTACCTGTTGAATGTCTGCCAAGCTTCAACATACGCAGAGATCTCGTCAACCTCAAGATCTGGACCACTCTCCCCACATTTTCCAGTTCAGTAAAACTTCCGTAAAGTTGTTCTACCAGCAGTGTGATATAAAATGGGATTATAGCTATGATGTCTATGATGTTCACCAGGCATTTCATGAATTTGCATTTGTTTTTCACACACAAGAATCTCAGGATGAATTCTGCAGTGAACCAGGTGATGCAGAGATACTCAAGAGCATTCAATAAGGGTGGTTCGAGTGCTGTGTCATCCAAGGAAAAGAGAGCCATGTTTGCAATGGAAATGATAACAAAGATGACAGAAAGAACTCCAAAGGTTTTAGCAAGCATTGAAGAATCAGGTTTCTCCATCATATCCCACAGTTTCTGCCTCAGTTTCTCATACTTCACTCCAGAGAAATCCTCTTCCTCATTCTCAGTAGTTTCTGTGTCTCTCTTTATGTCTAAGGCTTCATTCATTTCTTTCCGTTTATAGTATTTGTCCCTGCAACATGCATCAATACTCAGCTCGTCGATTCCCCAGTATTCAATTTCTTGCAAAAAAGACATAGCACAAAGTTCTTCATTGACATGCAATCTTCCAGTTTTATAGTAATTTATAATGTACTTGAACGTCTGAGAGCTCCGGTCAAAGAAATACTCGTTGTCCACAAAGTTGGCATCGTCACATAGCTCCAACATGGAATCCTGTTCAGATACAGCCAACTTGCCGAGGCGTGTCTCAGGGTAGGTTGACAGAGTTTCTTGTGACAACACAAACCTGCTGCCACCAACATTTATAACAAAGACGTCTATTGGATTTTTATTTGGATGCTCCTCACTGCAGAAGACACTAGATTCTAGTGAGAAGTTAGAAGTGTTGTCTTCATTCTGCCCAGCTGGCCAAGAATAACTGGGAGACTTCATGGTACATGATCATTGATGGTCACCTAAACAAATGATACACATGAACAATATCAGTTAACAGTTAATAAAATGTGCACAAAACTAGTTGCCTCACAAGTGGGACAATTTAAATGACTTTATTCACTTTCAGTGGCCTAAATATGACATGCATCAAAGTCTAAAAATAAATCATTGACATTGAAGTTAAAGAAGGCCTGAATACGTCAACACATTTTGTCAACACTTGCCAAGTATCCCTTAATACCCTGACCTAACAAATAGCTATACACCTCAGTCTTGAAGATGTGAATGGATTCAGCATCCACAGCCTTTTGGAGGAGAGAGAGTTCCAGATTTCCACTACTGTTTGGGTGGAAAAACTGCCTCCTGATTTCATTCCTAAATGACCTAGCTCTAATTTTAAGATTACGCTCCCTTGTTCTGGATTCTTCCACCAGAGGAAATACTTTATCTGTATCTACCCTATCAAATCCTTTTATTATTTTAAAAACCTCAATCAGACCACCCTATAACCTTCTAAACTCAAGGGAATAGAGACCAAGTTTATGCAACCTGGCTTTATAATTTAACCCTTTCAGCCCTGGTATTATTCTGGTGAATGTTGGAGGGAGCACCTGTTCAGGCAGCTATTAAAGATCCAATGACTCATTTCTGGACAACAATGCTCCAGATAAAATTGATTATTTACTTCATGGCCATTTGTGCGAAATGCTGTGCGCAAATTGGATGCCACGTTCTCCTATAAACGCGTAGTCACTAAAATCCTGAAGTAATTTGAAATGTCTCAATAATTTAATAAAGTGCTATATCAAATACAAGGATTATTATTAATCCCTATTGAAAGTTTGTTTCAACACCTGCTGAAGAACCCAAAGGCAATGCAGATTAGGAGAAAAACTAATACGCATGTTTGTACTTGACTGAAGTGAAAATATCATTTTATTATAAGTTGAATCAACATTTACACAGTGAATGGCTTTCAGATTGTTGCAGACAATTTGCTCATTACGAATCCAAAGTTTATAATATAATCATCTCCTCTGTATGTATCCACAAAAACGACTTTACTTCCTGTCAGTGTGACTGGTCCTTACGATTTGAAATTCTTTAAAATGTTCATTTAACAGGTAAGTACGTTTATCCTTGTTTCTAAGGGCAAGCAATTTTAATGCCAACTTAAATGTGAAACAATGGACTTGGATTAAAGGTGCATCCATACATTATTCATGTGACGTTATTGTGTGGTAATTTGCGTGTAACATTACCTCAGGTGGTTTTCACTTGTGGACTAAAGACATCATTTGAAACAATAATTAGATGACAGATCCGATCAACCAAAGTAATAGGCCGACTTGCACGTTAGAAAGGCCAAATGTCACCTGTATAAAAGAGACAATGGTGGATCAGGATTTAATAATGTTCATTTTGTTGGTCCAAATCTCACCTGGGAACCTATCCCTTCAACTGAGCCTTTGGTCACTTCACTTTCCCCTCCACCTCTGCTCCATGCCCAACCCTGGCATTGTTATCCTACATGAAGGGCACTTTAATAAATGCAAGTTGTTGTTGTTATCCATGTGAAAAATTGCTAAACCAGGCACATTATAAAGACCAAGGCTAATGCAATTGGTTTAAGTTACAGATCAGGTTACAAACTCATGCTTTTAATTATCCAATTAACAAGCAAGGCAAAGGGTTACAGTATCTTTCAAATTATGGCACTTTCATATTCTTACCTAGTTACCTATGGCATCAATAGAGCAAAACAAGAATATACAGGTTTAAGGTTGCAAAGGTAATTTTGTGCTTTGAACTCAAATCGTCTAGGTTGATATTTAGTCCAGTGCTGGTGGAGTGCTGCCATATTGGAGGTGCTGTCTCTTGGATGATATGTTAAACTGAGATCCCAGTTCAGGTGACATTAAAAATCCTACGGCATTGCTTGAAAAACTTTCTCCCAGTGTTCTAGCCAAACAAGACGTCCAGGTAAAATTTGTCATTTATTTCATAGCTTTTTGTGGGTCATTGTTGTGTGCAAAATAAACAGTCACTATACTTTACAGTAAATCCTATGAAGTGCTTTGAAATGTATTGACATGGAACATTTCACTAACCTTGTTTGCTGTGTTGAACAACCATAAACCCTCGGCATGCAGTGCCAGGCAATGCTAGCAACAATGCCTTGATACTGATGCTTCATATGACAGTTTAGAGAGAAATGTGTTTGCTTTCTGGTTGAATCGTAACACTAATACTGCATAATGTTGGACTATAATTCCTTTCCTCTTGACATATCAAGTATTGCTGATGTACGCCCAGAGCCATATGTTCAAAACAACATGGATGTAGTACTGCAAATCCTAGATTTTCATCCCAATTTTTTTCTGCACTATAAAAATTTGCAATGGTTTTGTGATCTAATAATAATAATCCTAGCATTTGATGGTGTTTTTACGTTGGGAAGCACGTCTCAATGTGCGTCCCATGACTTACTGTAAATTGTGTTGACTGTATTTGTAGGGAATTCCCCAGCTAATTTGCACGCAGCAGTGTCCTACAAATAGCCATGAAGTGAATGACTAATTGTACCTGAGGGATTATTGGCCATTAGAAACTCCCTTGTCCATTCGAAAAGTGCCATGGGATCTTTACTGTTCACCTGAAGGGGCAGATGGGACCTTGGTTTACTGTTTCATCTGAAGGGCAGGACCGCTAACGAATGGAGTACTCAGTGTTTCAGCCTTGAACTATGTGAGAAGAATTCCTTGAGTGTCAGCCTAGAACTATGTGAGTTCAAATTTCTGACATGGGGCTTGAACCCACAAACTTCTGAGTGAGAGGTGAGATTACAGTAATTTTTGTTAAGTTTTGAGATAATAATAATAATCCTCGCATTTGATATAGCGCCTTATCACATATTCGAGGCGTCTCGAAGTGCTTCACAGAATATACTTCAAAGTGAATTGACTGTATATTTTGTGGGCAAAATGCAGTAGCCAATTGCACACAGCAGTGTCCCATGAACAGTGTTGGATTTTTTAAAACATGTATTTATTTTTGAAGGGATTATTACTCCCGGTCAAGCGATCTGCCAGTCGACTAACAACCGGTCCCTACTTACTGCAAGATGAACAGAGGCATGTGGAGAAAGGAAACTTGCTTAATGTTTCGCCCTGCCCGGGAATCAAACCTATGTCCTCTTGCTTGTGAGGTGAGTGCTCTCACCGCTGAGCTACAGGATCCACGGATATCCTCCTGACATGGAAGTGATTTATCAAATGCAAGGATTTTTAAAAAATTGTCTGTATGAAAATATCAAAGGAACTACTGAGTGTAACAGACTTGCCATCACTGAGTAGCAAACTGCAATCAAACCTGTTCAAGTAACCACCTCCATTCAGCAAACACCCTCTGTTAACAACAGCCCTGGAATAGCTCAGTTTGCATATCAATGAACCCTTACTCAGTGCCCACCCTTATACAAAGGTCACTTTTGCTCAGCCCCCTGAGAGGTTGTTGGAGATGGGTTTGTCTGTATTCCTGTGTGATTGTGAATACTATATAGTACCTCTGAGGTATGTTACTGGAATTTTCATCAGGCCTTTCTGACTCATTATCTGCTTCTGATATTACATTGGGAATTAAGCAGAAACCTATTTCAATTCACCTTGTCAGCTAGAGTGCATAATTGGTAATTCTTTGGTCCCTCGTTTGTGTGTCAGATTTCCTATTTCTCTTTGTTATGTGAATTCTGGTTATATTAAATATACATTCCCGATTCTGCTGTCCCATGGCCTAATTTTTAAAAATATTTTTGAAACTCAGGATTTACAGCTTCAGGGTAACATAACTGTAACTTTGCTGTTTGATTAAATGGAACCTCTTTTAACATTCCTTCATTTTTTCTTACAACTTTCCAGTTCTGTGCTTTCTCAGGAGACGTACTTTGAAGGCGAATGGGGGTCAAATTACAGTAGCAATGTTTCCGTTCCATTTTGCTCTTTCAAACAGCTAGCACAGACATGATGGGCCAGAAAGGACTTCTGTGCCATCAATTGCTATGATTCTATTTCCTGCGTAGTTCCCTGCAAATACAAAGCCAACTCATTTTACAGTAAATCATGGAAAGTGCTTTGAGACGTGCTTTCTCAAGTAAAAACACTATCAAATGCGAGGATTATTATCATTGGATTACAAAAGCATTCCAGGCAGGGCAAAACCTTGGGCAAGTTTCCTTACTCCACACGCCTAATAATAATCCCTCCAAAACCAAAAACAATAATAAATTGGTCATTTTCAATCTACGACTGTTTGTGGGACATTGCTGAGCGCAAGTGGCTGCCGTGTTCGCCCACTAATATACAGTCAATTCACTTTACAGTGTGTCCTGTGAAGCGCTTTGGGACATTCTCCCGACGTGAAAAGCGCTATATCAAATGCAAGGATTATTATTATTATTATTGCAAATGTTTACAGTGCAGGAATAAATTGGGCTGAAAATTTTTGCAGTGTTTTGTGATTTTTTTGTGCTTCGAACTCAAATAGTCTAGGCTGATATTTAGTCCAGTTCTAGAGGAGTGCTGTCATGTTGGCATACAGCACAGAAACAGCCCTGGTCAAAGTGATAAATGACATTCTGTCTAACTGCGACCAGGGCTCCCTCTGCCTCCTCATCCTCCTTGACCTCTCTGCTGCTTTCGACACCGTCGACCACTCTATCCTCACCCACTGCCTCTCCTTTCACCTCAATCTCCACAACGCTGTCATTAATTGGTTCAGATCGTACGTCTCACACCGCCTGCACTTCATCTCGTCAAACAGCTTCTCCTCCAGCCCCCGCACCGTCTCATGCGGTGATCCCCGGGCTCTATCCTTGGTCCCGTCCTCTTCAACATCTGTATGCTTCCTCGTAGTGACATCATCCACAGACATGGGGTCAACTTCCACATGTATGTGAATGACACCCAACTCTACCTCTCTGCCTCCACCCTTGACTCCAGGACCACTGCTGTCCTGACAATGT